TATTGAGCTTTGTACCACGATTGTTTATTAGGAAAAATTTAAAAAACAACAAAGTCTAAGCGGCGGAAGTTATATCACTATTTCGGAGATCACCACATCTTCTCATCAGACTTCTTTTTTCTAGACTTCAGCAGGGATCGAACCTGCGAATTCGATGTTCAAAGTCAGAAGCGTTAACCACTGAGCTATGTACATCACTCTTGTTGCTAATTCATTTTCCTTATTCAACCAACTACTATCAAGTGCAGCTGATTTGCCGCTATTTAAACTCGACAGCGTGGTTGTTGTTGTCAATTCTATACATCCATTTGCTTATTTGCTTTTTTGTATACTTTTGTATTTGTCAATGTTATTGTGGCTTGTTAATATTTTATTTTTAATATTTTCATTGAGCTTTGTACCACGATTGTTTATTAGGAAAAATTGAAAAAGCAACAAAGTCTAAGCGGTAGAAGTTATAGCACTATTTCGGAGATCACCACATCTCCTCATCAGACTTCTTTTTTCTAGACTTCAGCAGGGATCGAACCTGCGAATTCGATGTTAACGTTAACCACTGAGCTATGTACATCCCGTAAACTCTTGTTGCTAATTCATTTTCCTTATTCAACCCACTACTATCAAGTGCAGCTGATTTGCCGCTATTTAAACTCGACAGCGTGGTGGTTGTTGTCAATAAAATATTAAAAATAAAATGTTAACAAGCCACAATAACATTGACAGAAATTTTAACATTTACAGGTTCGGTTGTTACCGATTTAGCGCGAGGCAGGCCGTCAGAACTCTCACTGAAAGTATAAAGTGAGGGTGGTGGGTTAAACGGTCTTTTTTTTTCTATAAATAAGTGATGAAGTAAAGTTCTGAAAATTTCCAATATAATCGAGGACAACATAAGAAAGTACGGGAAAAAATGTCAGAAGTCTAGACGGAAGTTAAAGAGTCGTCAGAAGGCGCTTATACTGCAAAAAATTTGGTAAAAAATGTTCACTAGGTAAACTTCTGACAATTTGTATGCTTATTCTGTAATTCAAAATGAAATTATTTGCAAATTGTCAGAAGTCTAGGTGGAAGAATAACGGAGATATTCCGATAGTAAGGGCGTCGGTGCTCCACTCGATCCATCATTATATCTCGTATTTTTGTATTGTGTTCAGAATTTATAGAAAAAGTCGAAGTATGCAGTTTCATAGCCCATTAAATTTTAGTAAAATAAATAAATATTAGTAAAAAAATAAGTAGCCCAAACTGAGTACATAGTAAATACATACATGTGTAAACGAATGTGCGCTCTGTTTTTTTGTTTATTAAATAAAAAATGGACTGTTCTACCCTATTATAGGTTTATATTTTGCGTTGGCCAATTCAAAAATAGCGTGTAAAAGCAAAAGCAGTCTGTAAAGTAAACATTTTTAGTTTAAATTGAAACGACTAAAAAACGTAATCCTCCTCACACATATGCCAAGAATAGTAGCGCTGTGTGTTAATCCGGCACAACGGTTGGACCAGGTTGTTGCCGAATTAATTCCAATGAAAAGAAATGAACAAGAGTTTGTATTAGAATTCAACTTTGTATAAATGTTTATTCATATATATAAATTGGTGACAATATATGCATAGATGTGTTTCTATAGATTACCTTTGATTTGACCCGGAACACGGTGGCTGGAAAAACGTCCTCTTGGATTCACTCTCGGAAAACAAGTAAATGACCGGTTTAAATTTATTCTTACTGTAGCCTGTCGAACTGTATATTTACCGAAGGGACATTTTAGCATAAGTAACATAGTGGTAAACAGTTCGACAGTTGACATAATAATGAAGCTATGTTAAGCATTAGGGTGGGTCGAAAATGCTGCGACAAATTTAGGCCGTTGGCCTAAACANCTTTCGATGTAATGCGTTTTACCTATGGTCTTATTTCCACCTGTGAGATCTCTGCCAAGCGTGCGTAATATTCTTCTATGATCCTGCAACTTCAGCATTGGTCCGGTGTAACATGTAAGCTAATAAAAGTCCTTATACGGAAACTCGAGAGCACAGATGAGCGTTTTCAATTACACAGGCCTACACTGAGAAAAAGGATTTAGTTCCCGAATTTTGACAATATTTGGGAACTGTGACCAAGGATTTGGAACTATTACCATGGGTTGGTAATTATAACTAAATATATTAAAGCTTCTAATATTCATCTAAGTTGCACCAAATCGTTAATTTAGTTGAAGGGTTTGGTAAATACTAACAAATATTTTTTTGAAGCATATTTCTACAAATTCCATTCAACTTAACGTATGGTTCATAATAGGATGTCATTAAGCTCTGCTAATACAGATAAGCTTTCTTTCAACACATGGTTTAGTCATAGTTAACAAATTCTAGTTGAGGCAGCCACGATTTGGTTTGAGCCAGCTAAACAATGCACACAGTCCCACTTATTGAATCGTTTGAATGCGCTAGTATGCCGACCATTGCATAAAAACAATTCAATTAATGAGACTGTGTGCGTGGAAATCATTGCTCAGTAAGCTATGGCATATCGATCACTGCGCTAGGTAGAGAAGGTTAGGTTAGGTTAACTCGGCTGNCATTGCTCAGTAAGCTATGGTATATCGATCACTGCGCTAGGTAGAGAAGGTTAGGTTAGGTTAACTCGGCTGCCCTAATCCTACAGGAAAATGGTCACACTTAGGCCACCATGGGCCCGTTGTGGTGCCGTACAAGAGACTCGATATGTCCCTCCTCTTACCCTAGTAATGAGTCCAGTTCGGCCAGACATTCAAAAGAATAATGGAGGAACGTGCATCGGCGAGCTCTCGCCAGAGCAGGACAGTGGCATAAGTAATGCTCCACGCCTTCGACTTCCTCCTCATCTCGGCAGCTACGACAGTAGTCGTTTGACTGCAAACCCATTCTTGTGGCGTGGATTCCCATCAGGCAATTCCCGGTGAAAACTCCAATAACATGCCGCAACAGTGGTCGCTCCAAGTGGAGGAGAGGGCGAGATCTACGATTGTTAAGCTTAGGCCAGATATGTCTTGCTATCCTGCAAGTAGGCTCCGCAGACCATCTTATATTAGCCCGTCCGACAAAGTTATTCTCTAGCCAGAGCTTGCAAGAAGATAGCGGAATGCCCGCATTACGGGCTGTACTGATTGCAGACAACAAGGTTCCTTCCCTTGCTAGTTCATCCGCAGTACAGTTTCCCGGTATGTCTTTGTGGCCTGGCACCCATACAACATTAGTGGCGTAACACCTTGCCAGTTCACCAAGAGTACGTCTACATTCCATAACAACCTTCGACATAGAATTGTCACTATTAAGTGCTTTAATAGCCGCTTGGCTGACAGAAAATATTATTAACGCCTTGAGCTTAATTAGAGGATCGATCAACCAACTTGCAGCTTCATTAATTGCTGTTAGATTAGCCTGAAAAACGGTGCATAGATCTGGCAGACGAAAACTGAGGCTAAGTGAGAGTTCTTGCGAATATACCCCACTTCCTACCTTCAGATCGAACTTGGAGCCATCAGTGTAGATGGCTGTTGAGTCAGAATACGATATCAGGACCGAATCCTCCTCCCATTCTTCCCTTGAGGGGATCCTTGTCTGGAAATTATTCTTGAGTCCCGTAGACGGGACTGTGTAGTCCAGGCGCCTAAAGTCCTCTGGAAGATCTTCCAAAATTCTAAAGTGACCCAACCTCGTGTCACTCCATTTGATTAGTGCATTTAATCTATAGCATTACAGCTTTCCTGTAGTTTACCATATAGGTCCACAGGTAGCAAGTGAAGCAAGGTCTCTAGGGCTTTAGTAGGCGTCGATGGTAACGCTCCCGTGATCATCATGCACGCTACCCTTTGGACCGCTGTTAATTTGTTTCTTATTGTAGATTTATCTACGGACGGCCACCAAACGGTTATGCCGTAGAATAGAATGGGACGCACAACCGCTGTGTACATCCAGTTCACAATCCCCATTTTTTTCCAATTGCCGATTTACAGGCATATATAGCTATAGCTTTCTTGCAGCGCTCTTCTATATTGCGCCGCCAAGTTAACTTTCTGTCAAGAATAACGCCCAGATATCTAACCTCTTCCGGGAAAAACTGTGCGATACCGTTCAAGGAAGGAGGTTGTAGCCGGAGAGCTTTCGTTTTCTTTGAAAACAGAACCACGGACGTTTTTGCCGGATTGACACTAATTCCTACTTCTTTGGACCAGGTATCCACGACGCGTAAAGCGCCTTGAAGTAAGTCACATAGAACTTGGGGGTGCTTACCAATTGCCGTCAGGGCAAGATCATCCGCGTAAGCAATGACTTGGGAACCTGTACCTTGCAACCGTGACAGCAGGGTAAGATTCCAAAGAAGTGGGGAGAGAATACCGCCTTGTGGGGTTCCGCGGTTCGCATATCTTGTTATAGATACCTCCCCCATCTCCGAATAAATAGCTCTACTGCCTAAGAGGCGTTGAATAAACTCGACCATAGGGTGATCCAGCCCATGGCGAGTTAGGGCTTGAAGAACCGCTCCCGGGAGAACATTATTGAAGGCACCCTCGATATCTAGGAAAATGCCTAGTGCAAATTCCTTAAAATCGAGAGCATTTTCAATGGTGCTGACAATACTATGCAAAGCTGTATCCACAGATCTACCTTTCCAGTAGGCGCTGACAGCTAGAGAGATTATTTATATCAATTTTCTGTCGGGTCTGCGAGTCTAGAAGTCTTTCCAGAACCTTAAGAAAGAAAGAAGTAAGGCTTATCGGTTGGAAGTCACTTGGTTTAACGTGGGCGGGTCAACCTCCCTTGGGAATAAACACCACTTTCGCCAGGGTCTAGCCCTAGGGTATGAAACTAAGTTTGATACAAGCCTTATAAATTAAGACAAGTATCGGACATAAAACGTCAGATGCTGACTGAAGTTGGGCAGGGAAAATACCATCCATACCTGGAAATTTGTAGGGCTGGAAGGACTTTATGGCCCAGTATACCCTTTTTACATCAATATAATAACCGCGGTGTTGGGCTCCGCAGTACAACCCGGAAAGTGCGCGTTCACTAGGACTTCAAGCATTTCCTCACGAGATGACGTCCAGTCACCATTTGGTTTCTGAATATACATCGGGTTCTTCGGACTTTTCGCAAGCACCTTTCGCAGGAAATTTCCCTCCGACTGACCCTCTATACTATCGCAATAATCCTTCCAGGAGTCCCTTTGGGCTTTCCTGGTGGCATTTTTAAATTTCTTCAGGGCTGCCTTGTATGCAGTCCAAGAACCATCGCGCTTTGCCGCATTAAAAAGTTTCCTGCTTTCCTTACTTAGAGAGGCGATTTCTTTGCTCCACCAGTGTGGCTTCTTCTTTCCTCGCGGAAGTACAAGTGGGCAGGAAGCAGAGGAGGCCGAGTTACAGGCTTCGGTAATGCAATCAACGGCTTCCTCAATTTGTTCCGATGAGCTTAACTCACCGAGAGAAGCAAGGTTTGTGAGAGAAGGCTCCGCTTCATCAGGTGGTGACAGTAAGCCTAGCTTACTGAGAGAAGCGTTGTTGAGCAAATTCCCCGAGAGTACTTTCCTAAACTTAGTCCAGTCAGTACGTCTCTTATTTCTGTAAGCGGCTGAGGCCGGAAGTTCAAGGGAGATTACATATGAGAGATACATATGATCAGAGAATGAATGGTCGTTCAGTACCTTCCACTCCATAATACTCTCAAAGAAAGAGCTAGACGTTAATACCTCCTTCCTATTTGAGGTAACAAAGGTGGGTTTATCACCAATATCTATCTATTTATTTATTTATTTAACAATCTAGAAATATAACATTTCTTACAGACTATGAACAGTTTCGAATCTAATCTAGTAATTCATTTAAAACTAAATTGAAGTTGTATTTAGTATAACAAAAATCAATGTCAGAAGAGTTTGAGAGCATATTGAACTCTTTTAATGCTCTATAAATAGGCACATTAGCAGCATAATTGGTTCTGGCTACTTCCAATGAAAAAATGGCATGATTCCTTAGACTCCTCTGCGGGATATTGAAACTAATACGTTCTAATAAGAATGGAGCATCAATAGCACCTCGTACTATATCAAATAAAAATTAAGCGAGACTAAAGTTCTTCTATTGTGTAGTGATCTAATATTAATAAGCATGCTTCTGGCACTATAAGAAGGAATAGGGTCATTAAAACGCAAGAAACGTAGTGCATAACGAGATTTGGCGAATGATAATTGAAAGTACTTCTTTATATTTAGATTTAGTCTATTTTTACAACACCACGCAACAACATTGTCTATATCCGATTGTAAATTAAATGAGTCAGATTGGCTTGTAACAGTATTAAAGATTTTTAAGTCGGCAGCGTACAGAAGAAATTGCGAGTGTTTTAAATAATTTGAAATGTCATTGATAAAAATTACAAAAAATAGAGGACCCAAAATACTTCCCTGGGGCATACCGGAAGACGCCAAGAATGGGTCGGAAACCGAATTGTCTACCATACTACAGATGGCTAGATTATATAATAATACAAAATCAAGTAACAACTCACCCCTGGGGTTGATGTTGGTAGATCCCCACACCGCGTGATGCGCATTTGCATCGGCACCGATAACTATGGGAAACTTCCTCGAGTTAGCCTCTTTCACCACGTCCAGTAACCGAGCGGGAGGGCAGTCTTGGCGATCGTAGGCCATGCAGGTACTGACCAACCAGAGTGTTGTGGATTGGCTTTCCACAGAGATGCTCACCGTATTTTCATCGCTGAACTGTGTGAGTAAATTATAAGAAATACTTTTTTTGATTAATATACATGCTC